TGCAAAGAAAGCGCTCAATTAAACAATTGTATAACCATTAGCGTCGAGATGTACAACTATTAATACTATAACGAATTATGATTAAAATCTACTATTACAAATACTTACCCAGCTTATCCTAGAACGAAATCCAATTGGCAGGGGAAAATCTTACTCGTAGTAAGATTATGCGACATCATTCCCTCAAGAGTTAAGGTACATCATGTCTTAAAACTCTTTTTATTTCATCTTAAACACCGACAATGCTGTAAATATTTTATAGGAACAAAGTTTTGTAGTATTTTACAATAGGCGGCGTTTGAACAAGTGATTTCCCTTTCCACGTAACTAAGGTTTATGACAGGCATCTTCTTTTTCTATATACCATGTCAGGACGTTGGTAATCATGTCTCTCCACAATTCCCTGTCCTTAGTAACTCTTAATATCTTTTGTCTTTTTGTCATCTCTCTGAAACCCTGCTCCACCGTCCATTTGCTCAAGCTTCCTAGGTAGGTTATGCGTTGCTTTCCAATATCTCTCTTGCTTTCAATCTGTCCTGTGTGTATCAAAATTTCCAAACTCTCTTTCCTCGTTTTGGGCATCAGCAATTTCAAATGTCTCTTCCTGATATTAAGTACACGTTTCCTTTTTGTTGCCATTGTCTCTAGAACTTTGTGGTTGATCACATGTTCGGGTCATGGTATTCTCAGCATCTTGCTGTAGAACGACATTTCTGTTGCTTTAAGTCCCTTCTTCACCTGTAAGCAAATTGTTCAGCATTCACTGCCATATAGCAGGACTGTGAATTTTTAACGTTTTTTTATACTTATTTCTAGTGGGGAAGGTAATGACCTCTCCAGTTGTTAACCATTCAAAATTGACAACTTCTTTTAAATACCTCCAATGACATATAATGATTTTGCCGTATCTGTCTATATCTCTAAGATGAGGAACTCTGATTACTTACATGATTTACATTATTCGGACTGTTATCCTCATCTTAAGTACCGTATTCACAAAGTTTCGGTCATTGTACGCCCCGGCCTTCTTCAGGTGATTGGAAATACGAACCGAACCCATTATTTCGTACATAACTCTTTTTATCTAAGTGCTGTGAGTTCAATACCAGGCTACAGCAGTGGTGAACCAAAACTTGGAGAGTTGAGTTAACAAGGAATGATTGAGGCATCTGGAAGAGGCATGGTACGTGGAACTAGAACACTCTACCCCGGCGGACGAAATAAAGGGTTCGGTTCTAAATTCCAATCACCTGAATAAGACTAAATCCTCCATAGGCCGCAACGTTTTAAATATGAAATATGAAGATGAGGATAACAGTTTGAATAATGAAAATAATGTAAGTAAAGATTTTGGCATTGGGACATTTAATGTTAGATGATTTGTTAGAAAAGAGAAGCAAGAATTATTGGCTTGTTAGCTATAACATTGAGGTGTGTGGTCCCCAAGAAATCAAAATCCAAGAAGAACTTGATATTAATATCGGATTTAATAACTTTGGGAACAGACAGTGAATATTATGGAAATGTTTCTCTCGTCAATAACAAATGGAAGAATAACATTCATAGACATTGGATGATCAGCCATAATCTGCACACTGAACAAGAGGATTAAAAGAACTCTCAATAAAATTTCATCATTCCCCGTTAAAACTTTGAAGTGCTTGGAAGACCTACAGTATTATCTCAAGTTAGCACAAAACTGGGTGATTTAGAAAGGATTTGATAAAGTAATTTGCTGAAGATGAGAATGCACACTTTTTTACAATGGGCCTTCAAGTCGAAACAGCTCTCATGATGCTAATGATGATTCTGTTAAAGGTGATAATGGAGGAGAGTGTGATGCATTTTCGTCATTTGATGCTCTTTTATTTCCGGAAAAAAGGCTGTACAAACAGCAAAAAAGATATGTTCCATTTATGGAGGTGGTGCCGTAGCTGAGAGTTCTGTTCATAAGTGGTTCTGTAGATTCAGAATTATTGGAAATTTCGATCTGGAAGACTAAGGAGGCTACGGCAGACCTGGATTCGTTAAAAAAAATCGAACGCTTATTGAAATAATCGAAGCCACGCAAAACAGGACATATCCTCATATGATCGTTGTAAGGTATTTGAAAACACTTGAATACATGAAGCACTACGATGTTTGAGTACCTCACGAGTAAACAAGAAAAAAAAACTTTTAATAAACTGAAATTCCCTTATCAGTTCTCAGCTCAATCTTTAGCGAAATTGCCCTCTTTTGAAAATGATAATCACCGGCAATGAGAAATGGATTGTTTACAACATTGTGGAGACAAAATGTGCCAACGTTAACCACTCCAGGAGCAGGTTGTACCTGGTGTGATTTGAAAGGTATCATGTATTATGTGCTCTTTCAGCAAAATCATACGTTGAAGTCGTGTTCCCAAGTGGACTGATTAAAAACATCAGCGAATGGAAAGCCAGAATTAGCCAATCGGAAGGACATCGTCTTCCATCAAGACAGCCCCCGACCCTGTGCATCTAACGCAGAATCTGCACACAATCATTTACATTCGGTTTACAAAATTCTCTGGAAGCCTCGTGAACCCATTTAAACTAGTTTCTCACTCGTAAAAATGCCAAGTTAAGTAATTCTAGGTATGATGATAAACTACATCCAGCAACAAGGCTTCTGATCGGGAGGTTTTGAGGAACGTCGAACCACCTCTTAATTGGTGTTATTTCCCAGGACCACCCAGACCCAGGGCGTTAACACCTGTTAGAGTTCAAGCTATGGGCAAATAGTTAACCTTCAAAACTGTGGTCAAAACAGTATGATAGTACAAAAATAGATTTTTATAGTAAAAGTACCTATAATATGCTTTTGAAAAAAGAAATAATACATCCTTTGTAAAAGAAATCACAATTGCTCCCAAGGAAATTAAACTTCGGCATTAAATAACACATAAGTTGATATGCTGCTTAACAAACAAACAAACGAATCTATTCTATAAATCTTGTTGGCATTAAATAATCCATTGTGGTTCATATGCCGTAAAACAAAATAAACCCAAACCCAAGTTATGTGGAGATTGAACGATGAAGGCAATGAAACAGCTTTAGTTTGCGTTCTTTCATTTTTAAAATCTTAAAAATGATGGAAACAGGTATCAATTTCATTTTCAATTAGAAAATAGAAATTGACGCAAGACGCAATTTTACTGCAATAGAATGACTCACTCAGTCGGAGATTATAATGAGATAAATAAGCATCGATGATTTAATTTTTATACATTGAATGCCACTGTTATTGACAATAAGAATGTTAATAGAATTAACAGAATGTTAATAGAATCTTAAGACTAATGTTATAAGCAAGTTGAATGCCACTGTTATAGGCAATAAGAATTATTTAAGTGACTTTTATAAAGTGTAAATTGCTATCCAGTGTTTTAAAAAACGGATTGGATTCAAAACAGGAAAGACCCACTAACTGCCAACAAATCATTAGGCAGTCAAGATTTATCAGTGATAGAAATGAGCAGAGGGTTTCTCGACAAGTACGAACCAATATAAGAGCTATTGTGGCACAAACTGTAAGTAACATTAATAAAGGTGGAGAAAGAATATATCACAGCACACAGTACACTGAAAAAAATCTGCAGAAACTCCAAGACAAGCTAGTAAAGGAAAGCGCAAAGAACTGATTGAAAATGAATTGTACGGAGGTAGAATGCAGGGTGCAATGGATAAATTATCGCCATTTTATATTTTTAATTTCGCATATGTGCGTTGTTTGTCTTTAATTTTATCGACTGCGCAGTATTGTAGGATCAGTTGGGCATCGTCTGTGAGAAAAAGAGCAACATGACGCAATTCACTCCGTCAGTAATTTGGAAACGGTATGCTGTACTGCTTGTCGTTGGCACCGAAACACCAATTCGAACATTTCAGAGTGTTCCGGTGTCAATCTGAGGACAGTAAAGACGATTCGGAAAGAGTTGCATGAGTCTAATGGTGATTACAAAGTTACTGCAGCTCTGAAAGCTTACTCTGATAGTTCTGACGAGAAAAGAACTCCACAATTTATTGGTGAGATCCAGGCCATGATTGAAAACGATCCCTCCAAGTCAATCAGGTCCATAGCCAGGGAGGTAGTGCTGTCTGGGTCAAGAGAGTGTCTGTTGGAAAACATCATGTCTGGTAATATGACTTTGCACCATGCCACACAAGCAAGAGAACTCATTCATGACAGTTAGACAATTACTGCGATCACATCACTATTTACATCTGGTCACCCAACTCGCTTGAGTATTGTGTGTAGGACGCAGTTGAGCGAGCAACCAACAAAATTCCTTGTAACACCAAATAATTGATGGCAAGGATTATGGCAGCATTCAACAACTTAAACGAGGTAATCTCAGAAGAATTTCAGGAGATTCCGAAGTCGTCTGGAGGCCGAGATTGAAGCCAATGGCAATTTTATTGAATAAATTTACTCTTAGTACTTAAAGATATTTTTCTGTAATTTTGGTAAATATAGCTGTTAAAATGAGATGTCAGTGTTACTTTCATTTTTGCGTAATTTAGACGACAATTTTTCCATCGCACCCTTTATGTGGTTATTAGCAAGTAGGAGATCCATTGACGAAGGGACTCGTCACCGAGAAAAAAAGAATTGAAATTGGCAATATTTTTAACGATGTATTTTCAGCAGAGAAATAAAAGTTAGTTCTTTTTGTTTTCTGTCGAGAAAACGGAAAACTTAAACTGCAAGTTTCCTTTCTCGATCCACCTAATTTCTATTAAAGAAGACTGCGAAACGGAAAATTAATCAAATTTTCCGTCTTTGTCTTCTTAGGTTTATTTCCCGTCTTCCTTGTGACAAACCTATGACAATCAGATAACTCTTAATAGGACTAAGCCCAGAACTGACTGAGTTTATGATTTATCTGAAAGCTTTAGCGCTAAAGATGTTGATAAGAATATGAACCTTGTTGGACGAAGCTGCTTTTCAGACTACTTACTGCGTGCACGACCATGCGCCTCTTAAATATTTACGTATAGTTTAAAAAATATTGTGGTACTGTCAAAAAACAGCAGCTGTTTGAATTTTTCGAGTTGAGATGCATGCAATTTTAGCTGTATTTTGTTTTGAATTCTAAAAGAAAAAAGAAGATAACAACGGATTTTTAATTAATTTATTCACATAAAATTTCAGTTATCCATTCTAGATTTTTACTGTGAAAATTTTCTTTCATTATTCTAGTTCATTACCATAATCTGGTCTTTTTCTTTCTTTCTTTCTTTCTTTCTTTCTTTCTTTTCCTTCTTCTTTCCATTCCCTTTTTCTTTCCTTGTTTCTTTCCTTCCTTCCTTCCTTCCTTCCTTCCTTCTTTCTTTCCTTCTTCTTTTCATTCCCTTTTTCTTTCCTTTTTTCTTTCTTTCTCTCCTTCTTTCCCCTTTCTTTCATTCTCTCCTACTTTCTTTCTTTCTTTCTTTCTTTTCCTTTTTCTTTCCATTCCCTTTTTCTTTCCTTTTTTCCTTCCTTCCTTCCTTCCTTCCTTCCTTCCTTCCTCTTTTCATTCCTTTTTTTTCCTTTTTTCTTTCTTTCTCTCCTTCTTTCCCCTTTCTTTCATTCTCTCCTACTTTCTTTCTTTCTTTCTTTCTTTTCCTTTTTCTTTCCATTCCCTTTTTCTTTCCTTGTTTCCTTCCTTCCTTCCTTCCTTCCTTCCTTCCTCTTTTCATTCCCTTTTTCTTTCCTTTTTTCTTTCTTTCTCTCCTTCTTTCCCCTTTCTTTCATTCTCTCCTACTTTCTTTCTTTCTTTCTTTCTTTGTTTTCCTTCTTCTTTCCATTCCCTTTTTCTTTCCTTGTTTCCTTCCTTCCTTCCTTCCTTCCTTCCTTCTTTCCTTCTTCTTTCCATTCTCTTTTTCTTTCCTTGTTTCCTTCCTTCCTTCCTTCCTTCCTTCCTTCTTCTTTTCATTCCCTTTTTCTTTCCTTTTTTCTTTCTTTCTCTCCTTCTTTCCCCTTTCTTTCATTCTCTCCTACTTTCTTTCTTTCTTTCTTTCCTTCTTTCTTTCTTTACATCCTTCATTTTACTTTTAGTCTTTATTTCTTCATTTGCTCTCATGGCCTATTTTCTTTTATTTCTAATTCTTTCATTAATTTTATTCTCTCTTTTATTTCTAATTCGTTTATTTTTTTTTTATTTTACTTGTAGTGTACTTTCCCTCCTTTTTTCTGTCTATCACGCTTTCATTTTCTTATTAATCTCTTTTGCATTTTCATTAACGCTTTCTTTAAGGTTTTTCTCTTGCATATATTTCCCTTTTTCTTTTCTCTCTCTCTCTCTCTCTCTCTTTCTCTCTCTTCTTATATTCTTTTATTTATATCTTTCATTCATATTTTTACTTTCAATATTTTGAAGAGTGTACATCACGTCAAGAAAATCTCGATATATAAATTATTACAAGTCAGAAACATCATATTAAAAATACCCAAATAAATTAGATCTACGTATGTAAGTTACAGTTTAACTTTCAGTTTCAAATAAGGGGACCGGGACGATTATTCTTTTATGTAGACAAACTTACTCGCTGTTCTCGCCTTCAAAATGTTTCCCTTGTTTATGCACTTCATGAATGTTGGAAAATTCTTGGAACTCGTTTTCCGAAATACCTTTCAGCAATGTAGTTGCTTCTTGCGGATAGCAGAGAAGTCATCAAATCTTGCTCTTTTGAATTTTTTCAGTTTTGGGAAGAGCCAAAAATCACAGACTCCTAATGCGTTATTTCCTCATTACCAAATGGTGGATCTTTTTTTTCTTTACATTGATTCCGATTGACAAAATAGTTTCGGTTTACGAAAATTTCGAGTTACGAACGGACTTCAGGAATTAATTAAATTCATGAACACAGTGAATGTCTGATAAAACAGAAGACAAAATTTGAATTGGAGGATGTTTGCGCTAATTTATTAAAAGGTTACCGGAAATATCTGGGAAATATTTTAACAGGGAACAGAAACAGCGATCCTGAAACCCGATAGCATATTGGTATAGCCAAGCCAGAACTCCAGAAGTTAAGCAAAGTACTAAGAAATAGGAAAAATTTGCGAGAAACAAGAAGAGCACTACACTGCTATCTGATATCTGTCCTCTTGTATGGCAGTAAGTGCTGGACGATCTCCTCAACGATGAAGCGGAAACGTGAACTAACAGAAAAGTGGTTCTACAGAAGGATGATGTGGATACCGTGGACCGAACATATGTACAACGATAAAGTTTGGGTTGTGGTTTCTGGGCCATAAAATGAGGAAGGAGTCCTTGAAAAATCTGATACTCATTTCGGACCCAGATTCCCCAAGCGAGCAAGTCGATTTGATAAACTGATACAAACAACATTATTTACTACTTTGATAGACTGAATTAACCTATATATATATATATATATATATATATATATATATATATATATATATATATATATATATTTAAATATAACACACAATGAATGTCTATTATACATGACTATGAGCTGTTTTAAACTTCTATTACTAAATGTTTGCAAACTAAGCAACGAGGTTTGTTACATTTGTAATTTCCTGTTTGGTTTCTATTGTTTAGATATTTGGTAGAGGTGAGGATAGCTGATAAGTTAGGTGATTGTTTCATTGCATTTATGGGTGGTTTATCGAAAATGTCTTTGATCTTGTTGTCTAATTGGAGGTTCTTGTAATCATTTTTTAAATTGTGAATAAGTGTGTGGGGATATTGATTGTGGTTAAAAACCATGGGAATCCGATTGTTGTTTTTATTTTTCTTGTATGTGAGAAGTGTGTTACGATTTATCAGGATAGTTTTATTTAGTGCTTCTTTTATTATTTTTATTGGGTATTTGCATTTTAGGAATTGTTTTAGTAATTTAGTAATAGCTAATACATTTTACGTACCCAACACCAATATCAGGATACAGCCACCTAACCTCACCTGCGATACCCATAACGTAATCTATTATTTATTCTGCAACTTATGTCCTAATAGTGGATATATTGGTGAGTCTGGAAACAATTTTAGATTTCGTTTTAATAACCATAAACAAACAATACGTCAAAACAACCCTTATTCCCCATAGCTAAACACTACAATCAATCAGGACACACATTAGAAAACTGCAAATGTTTATTAATAGATTCCGATTTTACTTCCACATTCACACGCAGAAAAAAAAAGAAACATATTGGATTTTAAAATTAAATACACATAAATTAGGGTTGAATAGGGACTTAGGTGTTTTAAATCTTTATAAATATTTCAATAGCTAAGCAATTTCTTTAGATATAGTAAAAAAAATATTTTTAAAATATTTATGACAGTTAGATTTAAGTTAGAATATCTGAACAGTGACGTTCCATATCACGTGACGTCCGCGTCTCTCGAAGGACGCTACTTGCCAACAAACAGTAATTTTAATTTATTTGTAACAAACAGTTATTTCTGATGAAAAATTGAGGACAATTTGAAATATCTATATATAAATAAATAAATACTTTCATAAAATAAAACATTATAATTTTTAATTTGAAACTTTTTCTATATATACATATTAAGAAAGTATACGTGGCTTCTCATTATGCTATATATATATATATATATATATATATAGTGGACTCTTCCGTAGCATTCGCCGTATGAGGGTCAAGGAGCTCATTTCCTAGGAACCGACAGCTCAGACACCAGCACCTATGATTTGATTAAAGTGACGAAGGCTTTGTGCAAAACCAGCCTCATGGTGAAATCCGTGCCACAAGGTCCCCAAACGATTCTCAGCAGATTTTGAATTCAGAATTTGCCTTCTCTTAGACCAAGTTGCCATCCAAGGCTATAGAAACCAGCCTGTGCTGCTATTTACCCATAGCTGGAGGGAGAAGAAGAAGAAGATGAATATAATTCCCAAGGGTATTAGCACGTAAGTGAATGTAATGGATTCTACTGGAATTCGAATTCGGCTCTCCGATTCCTCAATCCTAGCCGCTATCCACGATATATATATATATATATATATATATATATATATATATATATATATATATATGTGTGTGTGTGTGTGTGTGTGTAGCCACACTCATGAGCTGTGATACAGTGAAACAGTCTGTTTCTGAATGATAATATATACGTACCGAAACAATAAAATTCGGTCGAGCACTTTAGAGGAAAAACACGAATTCGTAAACAGTGAGTGCTACTGCTGATAATGCAAAGCTATTCTATGAATTGAGCACTCTGAGGCACTGGCGTGTTTATTCAAAAATAAATACGCAAGAAGTTTGATTAGTTGTAGCAACAAACTACTCGAACAAAAACTTCATTCATGAAAAATGTCAGCTTTTTCTCAACTAAAAACCATTTTTAGTCAGAGATTAACATTGTCTTGCGCCGTTCAGAATGCTCGAGAGTTACTTCCCTCTTTTAATGACTAACTACCGATAAGTTACAATGAATTCATTAAAGAGAAAGTTGCCTTGTGAATGCTCACTTCATGATTACAAATATCTATAGAGTACATGATTATATATTTTTATCCTCGTTATCTTTCTTTGTTATCAATCACGACTCCATAAAAACGGCCTAAGTTTTTGTTTTGTTTTGGGGGTTTTTTGTTTTTGTTTTTTTGTTGTTGTTTTTTTTTTTTGCAAAAGCGCTTCTGCTAATGTAAATGTATTTTTATCTTTGGTGTGTATTTATTATGTGTAAATATTCGCATATATATAGCTATGTATATTTCTTTTCAAAGTCCTTATAAATTATGTTACACGACATAGCAACGCCTTTGTGAACTGATAATTGAGACAAACATTAATCATCTTTTCTCGCCAAAATACATCTCGCCTCCACAGCAAATTAACAAGATGGAATACGCCCTTAATAGGAATAATTTCATCCTCATTTTTAAGCTATTTTTTTAAAATTCTTAGCTTTCATTTTTCGTTCCAGTACTTCATCTGGCTTTGTCCATATTATTCTTTTGTTTAGTTTAATGGGAATTATTTTTTTCAAAATTAAAACAAAATTACCAGCAAAATGGTTCAAACATTAGTGTTAAGTGAGAATATAATATTAATGCAATACAGTAGATGTTTTACATTTCTGAATGTAACGATTAGTACTACATTACAATGTTATGTTTCATGAAGACTAAATAGCGCCAGTTTGTATCTTCTAGTGATTTACGTTTATGGCCGTCTTTTATGTGCACTGTTATATCGACACGTGGGTGAACTCTTATTTTTATTACATCTAAGCAACCTTTGTCCTTTTCATATTGCTTCTTCCCCCTCTTCTCCTATCCACTTACACAAGCTCGTCAGGTAGATTGCTTACTGCCCATCTTGCCTTTATTATGTCCTGTAAGTATAAAATTCTGCCAGACTTCTTTCCACGTTATGTACCCCAGTAATTTCAATTGCCTCTTTCTGATTCGAAGTATAGGTGTCCTTTTTGTTACCATTTTCCCGAATACTTCCTCCTCGTTCACATGATCAATCCATGGTATTCTCAGTATCCTTCTGTAGAACGATATTTCTGTTGCCTCCTCTTTTATCTTTGAAGAAATTGCACAGCTTTCAATGTCCTATACGAGAATCAATATTGATAACAGTTAATCACGCTTTTCTTTATTTCTAGCAACATTTTCCTGTTTTTTAATCTTGTGTTTAACTTTTGGAAGGTACCTTTTGCTATTCCAATGCGCATACGGATTTATCATTTTTTCTGTCGTCTATTAAGAAGCCTAAGGCACGATGGAGTAGTGGATAGCGGCTCGGATTGATGAGTCGAATCACTTACGCGCTAATACCCTTGGGAAAGGTATTAATTCTCTTCTTTTCTCTCTAGTTATGGGTATATAGCAGGAGAAACTGGGTTCTATAGCCTTGGGTGGCAACTGCTCTAGGAGAATCTGTGGAGGCTTGTAGTATTCGGCCCTTCTGGATAAAGCCTCCCTCGCTATAATCATATGTGGTGGCGTCTGGACTGTTGGAACCTAGGAACTGAGGTTGAACCTTATACGTCGAATACGACAGGAGAGCCATAAACACACATATATATA